TGTCCTACAATTTAAACTTTTCCAGGATTTTTAGAAATCCTCTCAGAGGCTGTATTCCAACCTCTGTTTGTTTTTAAACAAAAAATAAAAGGGAGTTTCGAACACCTGAACATGCTAGGAGGATATCTGTACGCTATGACAAGTAGTTTTTCTCTGCAGGTTCATAAACTCACTCAAGTCCAACTAGGAGGCAGCTATGAAGATATTGCTGTACCTTATCTTCGAGATAGATAGCCCTGTAAAGGTCACTCAGAGCATCGCCTGCCGTGCTGCGCTGACGTAACCGGTAATGAACTGAATGTGATTACCATTCGCAGGTTTTTCTCTAGTCTTCCTCCCTAGCTCCTGCCCAACCTAAATCTCTCTCTCCTCTAGGACTAGAGTAGAGCAGCTCTGCATGCTCAAGGGAGAGGAGGCGAGACGTGCTTATGGTGTGTGTACAAACGGATGGCCCTCCCGCTCAGACCAGCCTTCCTAGACCCGCTCCCTTTCACCTCCCTCCACTTCTGAGCACATGTTTCGAGATGTCAAACCAGCAGATCCAAGCCATGGTCACCCTGAGGTGAATTGTGACCAATAATGCACGCTACACCCATACGGAAGATTTTTTGTAACATCATTGTCTGGCAGCGTTTCCTGTCCTGACTCACTTTAGATTCTGGATCACCAAGAATGAGAATTAACAGTAGCAACAATGACTGTTGAAGTGGTTGTCACTAAAGTTGAGAGCACAGGCTCTGAAGCCTGGTCCTGGTTCAAATCCCGCTCTGCTACTTAGCCTACATGTGACTTTAGGCAAATGATGCACCACTCTGAGGCTCAGTTTCTTCTCTATAAAATGGAGACAGAACAGTACCTACTTATGTCAGAGAGCTATGAGTTCATGTTCTCATATGTCCAGGAGTGCCTGGGACCCTGTAAGCCCTCCATTCCATAGGCTTTTAGGATTGTGGTGTTATCATGTGCTGAACGCTGCAAGCACACTCTGTCTGGTGTATGGAATACCCACGACCACCTCAGAAGCAGAGGTTGGTCACACCTTACAGATAAAGGAACAAGGCTTAGAACAGCTCTTAGCAAGTGATGGCCCCACATCAAATCTTTCCCAGCCTGTTTCTGTAGGTCCCACCAGCTAAGAATGATTGTATATTATAAATAGTTTACATTTTAAATGATATACACATACCCACATAACAAGCTTAGATTTTGCCCTGTGGCCTGCAAAGCCTAAATGTTTACCACCTGGCTCTTTACAGGAAAAGTTTGCTAACCCAGACTTTGAAAGAATTAATACTGGAGGCAGGATTTCTGACCATCCTGTCCCCAGCCCACCTGTTCCCTTTCATAGGAGACTCTGTTGGTCTTATTCCGGTGAATGAAGCTCCTTCAGATTCAAGAATATACAACCATTCATTCATTCATCATTCATAATCAGTTTTCAAGAAGCTGGACACGGTGGCTCATGCTTGTAATCCAGCACATGGGAGGCCAAGAAGGTGGTGATCACTTAAGGTCGGAGTTCAAGACCAGCCTTGCCAACAGGTAAAACCCTGTCTCTACTAAAATACAAAAATAGCCATGTGTGGCAGTGTGTGCCTGTAGTCCCAGCTACTCAGGAGGCTGAGGCACAAGGATGGCTTGAACCTGGATGGCAGAGGTTGCAGTGAGCCAAAATCACGCCACTGCACTGCAGCCTGGGTGACAGAGAGAGACTCAATCTGAAACAAAACAAAACAAAACAAAACAAAAACAATAGCTATCAAGGCCAGAGGTGGAGCAGCCGTGTCCCAAGACTTGAGGACTCCTTGTTGCAGCACCCCGGGAACCTTTCCCACCTAGCCTTGCAACAAAGTGGGCTCAGCAGGAAGGAGCGCGAGGTTTCAGTAAAACTAGATGATAAGAAACATCTCAGTCACTGAGGTCCGATGTCCTTACCGAGAAAGTATGCTCATCCACCCAGAGGCTTGCGGTTTTGTGGCAATCCCAATTCCGTTAGCCAGCTAACCCGACATAGCCTGGCCACATCCCACTCCTTGGACAAGTCTGTAGAGGTCAGGAAGATGTTGGTCGCGGCGTGTCGCGTCGACTGTGGGTGGCCTGGCCTGAGGTGGCTCCATGGACCAAGGCCCGTGCACCTTCCCCGGGATCAACAAGGGTTTGATGCAAGTTGCTCTGTGCCTTCTCTCTGCTGCCATTTTGGTGTTTGTTGATCATTCCCACACACCTCTAGGAACTGTAGTCTAGCCGGTGTTTGATGGTTCTAACAGAGGACAGTTGTGAGTGATATGGTTGACTCTGTGTCCCCACCCAAATCTCGTCTCAACCTGTAATCCACACCTCTACCGAAAAGGTAACGTAGCCGTGGTGTGTGAGGTGACTGGGTTATGGGCTGTTTTTCTGTCCCCATACTGTGCTCCGTGGTAGTGAGTGACCGTTTCTCAGGAGAGCTGGTCCTGGTTTCAGACATAAGGAGCTCTTTCCCTTGGGCTCTCTATCTTTCTCCAGCCACCCTCATGAAGACGGTACTCACTATCTCTTGATGGCACCTCCGCCATCACTGTTAAGTAGTATCTCGCGTGAGGCCGATCCCCAGTCCATGAGGGATGCAGTAAGGTTCATACTAATTTCTTCTTTCCCTAGTAAGGTTACCAAGTCTCTAGTAGAGTCTCTCTTTATAGCACGTGAAAAGAAACCACACACTAATTTATAGCAGTAAAAGTCAGGCTTGCGCAAAGTACTATGACGGTGCGGTCGCCACAGAAAGACACAGAGAGCACATGCTAGAGTTTTATTGTGTATATATCTGCGAGAGTTTTCCTTGTGCCTAGTCTTCCGAGCCATGCCCGTCCCGTGCAGCCCGTGGGTAATCGGAGAGTGCGTGTGCTCATACGACTCTGAATCCATGGAGACTATATAACGACCTTATGACAATATGGTGGTTTACAGCCTTATCTCATCAGAGGGCGAATTGACATTAGGAAAGTACATGAGAAAAAATCTTATGTACTTTACCGAATCTGATCAATAGCGTTAAAAGTGAGACTGTCAGGAGGCAGCTAGGTATGGCGCTGGAAGCAGAAACAAGCTGGAAAGCTGGAATGGATTTTACCAACGTGCTTGGTACACACTCGCTGAACAGAACTTGGCCACATCCTGGGCGACTAGAGGGAGAAGAGGTCAGAGATGGAGGGAGGACTGAGAAGTCATGGCGATTTGACACATATCTAGCTTGTTTTTCCAGGTGCGGTTTTAATCACAAAGATTAGAAGACAGAAATAATGATGTACCACTTAAGAGCACAGAAGAGATGGACGGGGCCTGTGCGACCCAACCTCCTCACTGCTGACTATTTGTGGATGATTCGTGACACGTACAGCTGTAGACCTTGACTCTATAAGCTTAAATCTTGGTATGGATGGGAGAGGGATGCCAGTAAAGGACGACGATCCCAGCTGTCCATTCCCCATTCAAAGAATCGAGGCAACAGCGAGGCCTAAGACCCCGAGATACCTGTCGCTCTTGCCATTTTCCTAGAGAAGGGTGAACAGAGCTAGGCTCTCACACTCGGACTCTGGATATCGCTGTATCATGACTCATGGTGTCCCTCATCCAGTGTGGAGGAGGAACTCGGACACCAGGAGACTCGAGTGTTGACATGAGCTACTGTTCCACAGTCAGGCTAGCGCTGCGCTCGGGGAATTTCTGACAATAGACTTCCACAGCTCCTTGAACTTCCAGTGGTCTCGTGTGTCCCTCTGTGTGGCAAGGCTTTCACTTCAGCAAAAACTTGAAATGTGTATACATGCCCGGAATAGCCCTTGAAAGACCACGGTTCTGCTCCCACCGTTTCACAGATCCCTACCACCTTCAACATTGCTCCCCACGTCCGAGCACAATCAAGTCTGCTGCACTTCTTACCTTTGGTCGTTCTGAGTGTCAGCCGCGCATGCGTCCTTAGCAGCCTACAACAGGGAGCTCCAATCTTTCCCTAAGCGAGGGCTTGGACGGCAGAGAGACACCCTTAGTCCCAGCTACTCAGGAGACTGAGGTGGGGGATCACTTAAAACAGGAGGTCTAAGTTTGCAGTGAGCTATGATTGTGCCACTGCACTCCAGCCTGGGCAACAGAGTGAGACCCAGTGTCAAACCTTGTAACCAGCTTGCATCAAACATTCATAGGGAAGTACAAGAAAGCTGGAATGAAATTTACAGAGTGTAGTGTAAATTACATTTTCTGGCTATTTGGCCCATAAACCAGGCCTTAGTCATGCCATTCTAACTCCATTCATACCTGTACTCTGTCCCCAGTGCCATGGTTTCTTCTTTCAATCAATTAAGAAACAGAAGTGTGGAATGTATTTTAAAAGTTGAAACTCCACTGACCTATGTATATTTTGAGTTTAAAGAAAGAACTGTTAGGCCAGGCATGGTGGCTCACGCCTGTAATCCCAGCACTTTGGGAGGCAGAAGCAGTGGATCACAAGGCCAGGAGTTCGAGACCAGCCTGGCCAACATGGTGAAATCCCATCTCTACTAAAAATTACAAAAATCAGCCAGGCATGGTGGCACGTACCTGTAGTCCCAGGTAATCAGGGGCTGAGGCAGGAGAATTGCTTGAACCCAGGAGGTGGAGGTTGCAATGAGCCAAGATCACGCCATTGCATTCCAGGCTGGTCAACACAACAAGACTCCATCTCAAAAAAAAAAAGAACTGTTGTTTTTTATCAGTTCAGGACACCATCAATTGTATGACACATTACAATTTCATACATAATAAAATGTGAAAAGTCTTTTATTTTTTAAGACAGAGTCATGTTCTGTCGCCCATGCTGGAGATGCTGGAGTGCAGTGGCACAATCTCAGCGCACTGCAACCTCCACGTCCCGGTTCAAGTAATTCTACCTCAGCCTCCCAAGTAGCTGAGATTACAGGCGCACGTCACCGCACCCAGCTAAGTTTTTCATTTTTAGTAGACATGGGGTTTCACCATGTTGGCCAGGATGGTCTCAATCTCTTGACCTTGTGATCCACCTGCCTCGGCTTCCCAAAGTACTGAGATTACAGGCGTGAGCCACCGCACCCAGCAAAAAGTCTTTTTAAACATCTTGCAGTTTACAAAACTTACTTCTAACCATCTGCATCCTATAGGCAGCTATATCATATAACTTTTAAATGAGTTACCTTGTTAGACTTAGCAAGTGCTCAGGCTTCTAACTTGGGGTATTTTAAACCAGTGCAACTCGAAACTTGATCCACTGACCTGCAGAATATCTGGGAATATGTTAGACACTCAGGATCTAGGGTGGGGAACCAATAATCTGCATTTTAATAAGACCCCAGAGATTTTTACACACGTTAAATTTTGAGAAGCACTCCTTTTAAACCACGTGCTTGGAACTTCTAGCATCGATGTGGCCAGAGGGTGGGATAAGAGGCATCCAAGAAAGCTTTGCTCTTCATACCAACCCCATCTTCACCTATCTCTGAATAAGCAGTTGTTCTGCTATGTTATAAGCTATGTTATTTTCTTCTTTTTGAGATGGAGTCTCGCTCTATTCCCCAGGCTGGAGTTCAATGGCACAATCTCAGCTCATTGCAGCCTCCACCTCCTGGGTTCCAGTGATTCTCCTGCCTCAATCTCCCATGTAGATGGGATTACAGGCACATGCCACCATCCCCAACTAATTTTTGTAATTTTAGTAGAGACAGGGTTTCACCAATGTTGGCCAGGCTGGCCTCGAACTCCTGACCTCAGGTGATCTGCCTGCCTCAGCTTCCCAAAGTGCTGGGATTACAGGCATGAGCCACTGCACCCAGTGGCATAGTTATTTTCACAGTTAGAAAAATCTTAGGTCAGCAAGACCCAACAAGAATTAATCATTTCTGTTTTTTTAATTCCCCAGGTGAGATCTACCATGCATTGTCTCAGAAAGAAGCGAAAGACGCCGATGTCCAGGTCAGTTCTTGGCAGGAGGTCTAGGAGCAACAGAGGTGATAGCAAAGATGGCTCGGTAGCTTCTGAGCCCACAGCACTGGTTGAGATGTCCTTTCCAACACGGTGCTGCTCATTTTTCTGACAGACATCTAAGGGCGGATCCAAGTCTGTGGTTCTGATGGCCTGTTTCCACGTGCTGGCCTCCTTTTCTGTTGTGCCAAAGTCAAGTTTGGTAAAATGAGGCTTTTCTTAACCTTTTATCATCTCCCACTGTGTTGGGGACTCCAGGCTGTGCCCACCTGGTGGGAAGCATCGTTCGACCTTGTCGCTGTGCCCTCTGCACTTCTGAAGAAGGCGTGCAGTCACACATCATAAGTGAAATTTCCAGATTATATCTAGATGCCTCATCCTGCCTTGTCAGTTTTGCAAAAGTTCCTCTTGTGGCTCATGATGAGAGCATTACCTTGAAAGCAAGATTTTGAAAGACCAGGATACCTTTATTTTGCTTCTCCATGAAAGCGGAGCCACTCAGATATTTTAAGAGAATCAGATCATTGTCCTGTTACAGTAACAATGACGAGAGTGAATTAATTTTTAGTTAGCATCTATAGGTGCAAAGCTGAAGCAGATAGAGTCTCCGCCATCATCCGTGGAGAGCCCTCAAAGGCTGTGTGTGCCCTGTCTTCCATCCCCATTGCTCTCCCGTAGATGGAGGGCTGGGTTACTAATGAAAGATCAGCATCAGTCTGTCAGCCTCAGTCTTACATTTACCACCTAGCTGGTGCCAAAAGAGCTCAGGAAACGGCCCAGCCAGTGGACAGGCCCTCAGGAGAGAGTACTGCCCAGGGCTGTGATGGGCACGAGGGCAGTGGCATCCGCTGCCAAACGAGGAATCCATTGTTGGAACTCCAACTTGAGAGGTAGTGAGCTTGGAAGGTTTTCTTTTTTTTTCTTTTTGTTTGCGAATTTGATGCAATTATGACAGTCATTTTTCCCAGAAGTCCTCCCAAAGGCCTGTGCTCATTTATGGTAAATTGACACCCTGCTCTCAGTGACGCCCTTTGGAGAGAGTGAGGGTGGGGCCTGAGGTGCTCTTGATGGTGCCTTTCTCCACGTGGTGGTCTGCAGGAGCAGACATCTTGAAGAGTGGCCACGCCGTGCCCGCAGAGCCAGAAACCCAGTTAAGGAGTATTATCCCAAGGATGCAGTGTCAAGGTCCCTACCCCCTGAGTCTCGGCCAACCCTGGAGCCTAGTTTTGCTATTTTCTGTAGTGTTAGGATCACTTCCTCTATAGCTTAGTGCTACTCTGAGCTCACTTTCATCTGGTCATGCCTGGTCAAATATCTTTGTTCCACATTTCTCAGGCTTTCTCTTCTGCCAGGGATGAGAGCAGTCTTCTTCCGGATAGAAAGGTTTTGGTCCTCGTCAGAGTAACCTCAGAAAAGCAGGGCCAGAGCAGGAAGTGAGCGTTTGACATGGCTGCCGTGTGTGACAAAGGGTCATTAATTGGCGTGTGAGTGTGACTTGTGTCTCGGCAGCTGTGGGTAGCAGATGCATGGCAGGTGAGCAGGGCGTGAGCCTCAGTGAGTAGAGGACTGGGCCCCATCTACTCTTGCACTAGGTGCCGGGAGTGGCAGGCGGGATGCCTGGGATCCTGGGCTGCCCAGACCAGAGCAGTGAGTGCCGCACCCCCTTGTCCGTCTGCAGCCTACAGGAGCACAGCGGGCCGAGGCCTTCGTGAGGGCCTTCCTGAAGCGCAGCACGCCTCGAATGAGCCCGCAGGCCCGCGAGGACCAGCTGCAGCGCAAGGCGGTGGTCCTGGAGTACTTCACCCGCCACAAGCGCAAGGAGAGGAAGCAGAAAGCCAAAGGCCTCTCTGCCAGGCAGAGGAGGGAGCTGCGGCTGTTTGACATTAAACCAGAGCAGCAGAGGTAAGCTGAGCTCCCCACGCTTTTCTGCCCACCATGCCTACCCTTCCCGGTGTGGACTCGGCTGTGTAGCTGGGGAGGCAGCCTGGCTCCACCTAAACTGCGGGCGCCTCTCTGTTGTCTGCCACAAGAGGGCAGCCTTCCTTTACCAATCTGGGCTGTGTTCAGCTGTGTTCAGCTAGGCGGGCGAGTGAGACCCGTGCGAGTACATCTGTTGCCCATGGCAACAGGCTGTTTGTCCCTGAGCTTTGTTAGACGGAAAACAGGAACTAATACTAACGTATATCGCTTTGTCGCTTTTAATAGTGCTAGACAGAGTCACCCACTCGGGTTTCATTGCCAAAGCAAGATGCTGCCTACACGTTTCAGAAGTTTCCAAAAGGAATGCATCACTGTCCTGTCCTGTGGGAGGACATCTTCCTCCAGCCGACGCTCCATCCCTCCTTGGTGATGGGTGTGAGTGTGTGTGTCTTGGGGCTGTCTGTAGGCTTCTGCTTGGAGATCTACAGCCAAATAGCCTCCCACACTCCAGAAGATGCTTGAAGTATGTCATGCTGTCCCCAGCCCCACTCAGGAGATCAGGTGGAGGAGGGGCTGCTGCCTCCCGGGGTTTGCCTCCCGGGTGGAGCTCCGGTTGGGTTTGAGCTTGAGGTCCTTGTTTCTCTATCCTAAGGCTTCATGGAAACGGATTCCCCACACGGCATCAAGACTGAAGATAATGGCCCAGAGGAAAGCTGTTGGGGTCCTCGGCCCTGCTCCCCTCCCCTTCTCCCCACCACTTGCGCGCTCCCCTTCCAGACCAGCCTGCTGCCTCACACGAGGACCTGCATGACAACCAGCGACCCCTGCCTTCTTGAGGGCTCACTAAGTTCAATTTCACGTAACAGAAAACCTCAAAATCACAGTAGCTTCAACAAGACTCATGTTTATTTCTCTCTCATGAAAACAAGTGCAGGTGGACACCACCCTGGCTGGTGTGGTTCTGCCACTGAGGAAACAGAGGTTAGAGCGGTGAAGCTTCTTGATCTCCCTTATCAGCTCAGTTCCTGATCCTAGGATTTGCACGTAGTTCCTAATGATCCCAGGTCACAGTTGTTGGCATCAAGCCAAGCTCTGTGCTGTTCGGACATTATCATCCCAAGCGCATGTGGTCTAACTTTTTCCCTGTTTCTGACTTTGCCACAGATACAGTCTTTTTCTGCCTCTCCATGAACTCTGGAAACAGTATATCAGGGACCTGTGCAATGGGCTTAAGCCAGACACGTAAGTTGCGTTCCTGAAGCTTTTCTCTTTGGGGTGGATCCCAAGTCTCTGGTCATTGTAAATGCAGCTTCAGGAGCCAGCCTTGGCATTGCCAGGCTGCAGAAGGCTGAAGACCTAGTTGCTTCTTTCGGAGCTTTTTATTGTGATGTAAACCAAGGGCTTCTGTTCACCTCGCAGGCAGCCACAAATGATTCAGGCCAAGCTGTTAAAGGCAGATCTTCATGGGGCCATTATTTCAGGTAATTTACCTAAGAGCGTGTAGCACATGGCTATCCAGAGGTTCACACTGTCACTCTGTGGAGACCCAGGGCTTGTATCCTATTGGACACACTCCTTACCACGTGGATTCCCTGAGATGGCCCCTGGCCACCATCATCCCCACATTCAGGGTGGGAGATGCTTCTCGCCGGCTGGCTTAGCCAGTCTGGCCATTTGCTGGACACACCCTAAGTGGTCTCTGTGTACCTTTTCCACACAGGGACCCCTGTTGGTACCCTAAAGGGCACAGTGGCTGTTGGCACTCACTCATGACCTGGAATCTTGAATATAGAATCCCTTTCATCCAGTGCTATGATTTCAAATGTCAGCTATGCCTGACAGCCCCCAAGGTGACATCTCCAGCATAGGCCTGTCTCCTGAACTCCAGGCTCAGGTATCCAGCTACCCACTTAACACAGCCACCTGGATGTTCAGGGGGCATCTCAGCATCTACAGAGCCAAAGCTCCTCCCGATTCCTCTCACAGCAACCCCTCCCACTCTTTTCCATCTCAGTTAATTACTCAGTTACTTACCCTGGTTTTTCAGGCCAAAAACCTAAACAGTATCTATGTTTCTTTTTCCCTCATCCCCTCCTCTGATCCTGTAGAACATCCTACTACCTAAACTCAGCCACTGTCATCTCCCTGGATTACCTCAGACACAGGTCCTCCCCGCACCAGGCAGCCAGAATGCCGGGTATAGAGAGATCAGAGCACGTTCCTTCCCTGCTTCAAGTCTTCCGGCAGCATCCCATCATATGGGAGTAAACTTGCCTCCAGATCCCTGGGGCAGCAGGCCTCCCAACCCACCTTCCTCCTGCGCTGCCTTAGGGCTTTGCCTCTGCTCCTTCCCTCTGCCTGGGAGTTCTCCTATGTGTGCACAGACCAGCTTCTCATTGTTCAGCCCTGCTCCAATGCTGCTTCCCTGAGGGTCTACCATGGCAAAACATGGCCCTCCGCACTCATTGCCCTGTCCCTGCTCACCGCTGTCAGAAAGTAGGATGGTGTGGTTCACCATGCATCACCCTGCCTTGCTAGAACCTGGGCTCCATGAGAGCAGGATCCGGGACTGCCTCTTTCTGGCTGTGTCCCTGGCATCTCCCGAGGACAGAGCAGGCACACTGCAGCTGCTCAGTGACTGTTGGGTACACTGAGTCTCGGGTCAGGACGAGGGAGGGGCTGCCGCTTGTGATGGTGGCTTGTCTCGCAGTGCTGGCTGCTGGGCGGCTCTGCAGCAGGACTCACGTTCATCAGAGCAGCCAGCCCATGGGCCCTGATGGTGCTGGGCATGTGTGTCACCTTTGACTCCAGAATCCTGCCCAAGACCCCTGCAGCCACAGACCTCCAAAGGATACCCCATAGGAACAGTCCAGAGGCTGCAAAGCCCCAGGGGAAACCTGGGTTCTCGTCGGCTCAGGCAGTGCTCACGGTTGAGCCCCAACGCCCTGGGTGCTCTCTTCCTTCGTCTGCTAGCTAAGAGGGTGGGACCAGCACCCCTGATCCCTGAAGCCTGCTGCTTGTCTGTGGTTCCCCCAGCACCACAGAGGCCTGAGCCTGGAACTGTCCTTTTCCTTTGCAGTGACAAAATCCAAATGCCCCTCTTACGTGGGTATTACAGGAATCCTTCTACAAGAAACCAAACACATTTTCAAAATTATCACCAAAGAAGACCGCCTGAAAGGTATGTAGATGTTTCCACAATCCTGTGGGCTGGGGCTTCCAGCTCCTGCGTTAGCCCTTTCCTCGAGGCTCCAAGATTGCAGATACTGACCCTGCATCAAAGCCTGCAGAGACCATCCCCTGCACCCATGGCTCCCCCAGGAGATGTGTGTCAGTGCAGCCAGCAGCCCTAGCCAGAAATGGCTAAGGGGAAGGAGGAACTGCTTGGCTGTGCCTTGGGGGACCTGGGTCTGTTTGGGTCCCAGGAGGAAGGGACCTCCACCTGCCCCAAGGCCACTGCTCCCAGAGAAATGTAGCCACACAGGCAGCAGGGTAGAAACAGGAGCAGCGACTGTCCCTGGAGTTCCAAGCTGTGTCCTTGGCGATGACTTTGTGTTCCATCGATGACACTGTGTTCCACTGGTGGCCAGCATTGCTCTAGCAGACACTTCGGGTCTTCCAGGATTTCTACACACTGCCTTGCCCACAAATCCAGAGATACCAAACCACAGTTAGAGAGTTTGGTCCCTTTAATTTTCTTTTTTTTTTTCTTTTTTTTTTTTTTTTTTTTAGACAGCCTCTCTCTTTATCCAGGCTGGAGTGCAGTAGTTCAATCTCAACTCACTGCAGCCTCCACCTCCAGGATTCAAGGGATTCTCCTGCCTCAGCCTCCTGAGTAGCCGGGATTACAGGGGTGCACCACCACAGCCAGCTAATTTTTGTATTGTTAGTAGAGACAGGGTTTCACCATGTTGGACAAGCTGGTCTCAAACTCCTGACCTCAAGTGATCCTCCTGCTTCAGCCTCCTGAAGTGCTGGGATTACAGGCATGAGCCACTGCACCCGGCCTTGTCCCCTTACTTTTTGGGTTTGGTTTTTCTTGTTGCTCCCCTTACTTTCCTACATATTCTTCTACCTCACATCATAGACCTCAGAAAGTGTTGTGACAGTTTCCCCACAGAGCATAAGGCCAGGAGCCCATCTGAAAGTTATGTGGGCAAACCAGTTTCTGGCAGGTGTGCTGGGTCTTTCTGGTTCTGGGAATTTGTTGTATAGCTTTTGACCCTGAAGATTAGGTGCTGAGTTACATTTAGCATGTGACTAAATCGACCTTACGGCAGAATAACCACATGTAACCCTAATGCTGCTCCCTTTGTGGGTTTCCTGTTTCCTATTAGCTTATTTTTTTTTTCATTCAATGTGTTATGAATAACATTCTACCTAAAAGTAAAATATGAGTAAATAAATAAATCAATGAATAATAAAACTTTGCTGCCAAGGTTTTTTCCTCATCTTTTTTCTCCTGCTTATTTTGTTTTTTATTTTTTTTTTTTCAGTTATCCCCAAGTTAAACTCTGTGTTCACTGTGGAAATTGATGGCTTTATTTCCTACATTTACGGGAGCAAATTCCAGCTTCGGTCAAGTGAACGGTCTGCAAAGAAGTTCAAAGCAAAGGGAACGATTGACCTGTGAATGCAGTTGTTGACGACAGCTGAAAACAAACTCCCTCAGTGCCCACCTTTCAGTGAAGAGATGGCTAAGCCGATTCCGTTTATAGACTGCCTCCAGCCAGGGAAGCTCTGGGTGGAGGCTGTTGAGCAATATGGGAAGCGTACTGAGTGAAGAAGTCAGGGGACAGGAATTTCCCCTTCTAGGAGATCTTAATTGTGGATGGCTCCCATAGAGAGGAACAGACCGACGGGAAACACACCAGGGTTAACACTGGTTGACTTCAATTTAAAGATGCTTTTTCATGTTTCCTGAGTGCTCTATGATGAATCCGTTGCCTCTGTGATCATACATCATACATGTGGATCGCATTATACATTGTGGCTGTGATCATACATTATACATAGACATTATACGTAAACAGGCATCAAATGAAGGAGCTATTGCTGCAGTCCAGCCAGGTTGAAACGGAAGGGGACTCCCCAAAGGTCCATTGGATGGCAGGTGTCTACAGAGGCACGCCTTTGGGTGGAACTCTTTGACCTACCTAAGAGTTACTTTGCTATTTCAGGAAGGTTGAAGAGGACTGAAGGGTGGGTTGCTCGGTAACTTAGGGCTTATTCACTTCAGGAATCCCAGCTGGGGTGGATGCCAGGAGCATAGCACCACATGCAGCTGTGCTTACGGCATGATCACCCCACATAGCTAGAGGGGACCACTCCTGAGCTCCCAGCGTGAGCTGTGGAGGCCTGAAAGGCGGTCACCAAGCATTGCCTCCTGAGGTCAGGCCGGCAGCATTGATGCCCTTTGATATCTTAGTTCCATTTTGCTGCTGAAAGACTTGGCTCTTCAGTCTGAACCTGGCCCTCTGTGGCGATGTGTCCATCAGACCAGTGGGTCAGGCCCTTCCATGCATGGCCAGAGGAAAAGTGGGCCCAGGGCTGCAGTGAGCATGGGATGGGGGACCAGCCTAGCAGATGGGTCAGAAACATGACTCCAAAGGACCGACTGCCCCTGCGCTTTGAGCAGTAAGTATCCGCCGATCAACGAGGTAAGGCCAGAAGCCCTCGTGGTGAAAGGCAGGCCACAAATCTGCTCTCTCTGCAGGAGAAGTGGCGGTGCCGAGGCTTTGCATTTCTGGTACCTTCCACCCAGACCACACCAGAGAAAAACACCGCACTGGAGAAGGGAAGTGAGAATGCTGACTGCTGTGTGCCGGGAGAGCAGAAAGGCCTAGCTGTGTGCCCCTGCCCCTCCCCAAGGCTCACAGTGCACCGAGAGTCTCACAGGGACCAGCCCGGTGCCTCAGTCCTGCTTCCATCCTGTGCACCAGTTCTGAGGTGGCTGGAGTGCTCTCCCCCAAGCAGCACACAGTCACCGCTGCCAGTGACGCAGACACGCACAGGCCAGGGACATGGAGCTCAAGCCCACTGCCACCTCGGACAGGGGCCCCAGCCCACCAACCGCCTGGTGGTGTGTCCATCCTCATTCTGCCACAGGAAGACAGACTTCAAGGGACTCCTTGCCCAAGGCCTCCCTGACTCAGGGTAAAACAGATTTGGACCCAAAAGTCAGGCTCCAGCACTGCTTTCAGCTACAGGGTGCCTGCAGGGTGAGATGGATGCGGCTCTAAAGCGCAGGATGTGCAGCCTTTCCTACCTGCTTTCCCACGAGCAATCCCTGTCTCGAGTGGGAAGTGGCATCTATTCCCCCAGCCATCTGAAAGTGCTGCATCTTGTAACAGCATAAACAGCATAGGAGCTGTAGCTTCCTAGCCATCCCGCTCTTACCCACCCCCCAGCAACGTAAAAGGCGTCCACTGTTGTGTAAATACACAGTCGCTTTCCAGAAAAGTTGTTGGTACCACTTGCCATGTGAAATCTGGTTTTCATTTGGCACAGACTGCAAGTTTCTGTGTGAGTGGCTGTTTAATTTGTAGACTTCTCTCCCTCTCCCCCAAGGAGTTGTGGGGACGGTGCTCACCGGCCACGAAGTTGCTGCTGTGCCTGCCTGTTTCTAGGATACACTGTTGTCCCCATGGTCCACCCAGGGGCCGTGTCATCTCCCAGGTAGAAGAGGGAAAGGGGAGGGCCAGGTCGGGCAGGACATGGTTCCTGATGAGGAACAGCTGCAGAGAGCATGCTCTGAGGCCCAGGGGCAGGGGCCAGGCTGCCATGTGTCCACAGGCTGCGGCAGTTTGTCATGGAGGGCAGTGTGCTTTGTGGCTTGATCTCCCATGTCCACTGTCCAAGGAGCAGGACCCCAGCAGAGTCGAGGCCTTGGCCATATGGTTCCGCAGGAGGTAGAGCCATGTTAGCCTCGTGTAAGCCTCCATGCACCAGAAAAGGTGCCAAAGAGGAAAGAGAGTGGTTAGCACCTCGAAACAGGACTCAAGAGGCTGCAGGACTGAAGACATCAGCCTAGCAACCACTGTTGAAAGAGTGGGGCCCAGGGGTCCTTTAAAGCTCCCCAGCGCCCAGCTGCCACACAGGCTGCAGAGGGTAGGCCGGAGCCTCGGGAGAAAGGATGAGGCCCTTGCAGGAGAAAGGGCAGCATGGGCGTGGCTGATGTGTCTGCGCTGATCTCCATAACAAGATGCCACACACTGGAGTGCAGCCTTTCCTCACGGCTCTGGAGGCTGGAAGCCAAAGATCAGGGTGCTGGAAGATTAGTTTCTGGGGAGGCCCCACCCCCTGGCTTGCAGATGGCCACCTTCTTGTCCTCACACCGCCTTTCCTCCCTGTGTGCAAGGAGAGTGATCCCTGGGGTATGATCTTTGTGGAGGGATGCCACTCTTATTGAATTAGGCCCCTATTCTTATGACCTCTTGAAAGTCTCTGTCTTCAGACGGTCACACTGGGGGCTGGAGCTTTATCATAGGAATTTGGAGACGCAAATCAGTCCGCAGCCACCCTGAAGCGTTCCCCGCCAGGACAGACTGGTTGTGCCTCCCAGAAATACTAACAGCCACCTGACTCTCAACCTCAGACACTGGCCTGGCCTTCCCATCCCTCCACATGGGCTGTTTGAACCACTAGCCAGTCCAGCCAGCCCGACTGCTGGCCCCTGAGCTCCCAGAACCACTGGATTCCGTGATATCCTCTTACAGGAACATGGGCTCAGGGCTGCTCCCTCCAGTACCTGGAGCCCTGAGCTGCCCAGTTCCCCTGCATTTTTGCAAACAGAACTTCTCCCACCAGGGCCAGGCACAGTCTGGTTAGGGGAGGACATCCGTGCACAGGTGGGCAGGATGGGCAGAGGAGGGTCCCTGGTGCAGGGGCTCTGCTCTAGGCAGCTGTGGGTGTAAAGAGTGTGCTCACACCAAGGATCGGGGCAGGAGCCGCGGAAGTATCGTGGAGGACCCAGGAAGGCAGGGGAAGCCTGCAAGGGTCTGCCCCCCTGGGCTCGGGCAGGCAGCAAGAGAGGCCAGAAGGGATATGTGGCTGCAGGAGTTGCTGGAAAAGCCCTAATCCACAGGGCAGGAGATGGAGTTCTGCAATCCATTCACGCAGGTCTGAAGTCCTGGGGGCCTTCTTGCCGCCATCTGCCAAGTGAGGCCTTCACACTAGACCCAGCATTCCTGGAATGAGATCCTGGACTTCCTGCATCAGAGTTAGTGGATGCACGTTCAGAGCAGCTAGAGCCTAGGCTGTACCTCAGACCTACTGAATCAGCCTCTGGAGGCGGGACCCAGATAGCTGCGTGTTTATCTAAGACCCCAGCTGCTCACTGATGTTTGAGGACGCTGGGCTCCAGATGGTGTCTACAGTCTCTTCCAGCTCTGACGTCTGGACTGTGATTTCAGACTTGGGACTCTCAGGCCGATGTTTTCTGGAGGCTGGGAAAGGTCATCAAATGACATCTCTCAGGTTCTGAAGGGTAAACATAAACATCCCTCCACAAAGCCATAAATTAAGGTAAAAAAGCTTGCTTTCTGGACAATGGCTTTAGCTTTAATTTAGTTTGCATTTCTTAGCTATAATGTCTAATTAAGACATCTGTTAAATGTCTATAATATTAATTTAATAGAAGGGGTTCTAATAGAACCGTATTGGAATTGTCCATTTAATTAACCTCAGTGGGCCTTTAATGGATGTCTTAAATAGACATCATTAACAAGAGTGCTAGACAAATTAAAATTAGAGTCAATAACATTCTTGGTAATTTTTCCTGAGCTGTGAAGGACAAGCCTTGCTAAGTAGACAGGCGCAGAGAGAGCCGTGCCCACAGGAGGGTGGGAGTGCTGTCCTAGAGGGCATCTGAAATGTACAGGCCCCAGTGGGGTCCAGCCATTCCATGTCTTGGTCCGCTTTGCCCAAAAAAGATAACCTCCAGCCATAGGAGGTAGCTTTTAGGAGCGAAAACCTGCCTTTTCCTGTGCCTTTTACAGAAAAAGTTTGTTGGGCCAGGCATGGTGGCTCACGCTTATAATCTCAGCACTTTGGGTGACTGAGGCAAGAGGATTGCTGGAGCCTAGGGGTTTGAGATCAGCCTGGGCAACATCGCAAGACCCCATGTCTACAAAAAAACATTTAAAAATTGAGCCAGGCATGGTGGCATAGGCCTATGATCCCAGGTACTCAGGAGGCTGAGGTGGGAGGATCACTTGAACCCAGGAGGTTGAGGCTACAGTGAGCCATGATTGTGCCACTGCATTCCAGCCTGGGTGATGGATGAGACCCTATCTATCTCTTTAAAAAAAAAAAAAAAAAGAAAGAAAGAAAGAAAAAAAAAGTTCTGGCCTGATCCATCAGAGGGGCTGGCATAGGAGAGAGATGGAGGAGGATACAGGACCTCGCCCAGAGACTCACTAGACATGCAGCAGAATGGGATAGGGAAGGACTGGCTGGCACAGGCCAGGGAGCAGGATGAAACGGAAAACATTCCATTCCTTCACCTCGGCCGCGCCACTGTGCCACTCTCAAGCGACCGCGTCTCTCCAGAGCCAGTGGTCAGTCCTCCGCCTCTGCCTTGCCTGGCCTCTCATCGGCATGTAACAGGTCACCCCTTCCTTCCTCCTGGAACGCCTCTTACCCCACACCCCATTTCCTCCTGCCTCCCTGGCCACCCCCTCTCGGTGTCCTTTGGGGGCTCCTCCGCTGCAGAACTTCTCAATGTTAGAATGCCCTCAACTGCACCTTCGGACTGTTTTCCCCATTCCCTCCACAGCTGTCTCGTCCACAACTTCAGATCCGCCAGACCCACGTGTGTCACTTGGTTCACCATCTGCCTCCCGCCGTCTAGATTGGAAGCACCAAAGGACAGGATTCTGTTTTCCTCACTGCCACATCCCCACTCATGCAGAGCGTATCTGGCTGTATTCAGTGTTCCGTGACGGGTGAGGAAATGGGAAAGCTGCCCACCAAGCCCCACCTGGAGGTCTGACAGGCAGCCCAGCATTGCGGGCTGCACTCGGCACGATGGACTTCCCTTCTCTTCCCTTCCCTCCACCCCTGCCTCTGCGGAGGCCCCTCACCTCTCAGATGCTCAGGTGGGAGATCAAGGCGCCATCCTGATGCCTCCCTGGCGTTCACACCCCCGCCAACCTTTCATCACAACCTGGGGGACCTCTTTGCAACCGTCCCACCACCCACCACTCCAGCCCCCTTCCGCCCACCCGCCGGCACCCAGCCACAGCCACAGCCCCCCGCCAGCCTCCCTGAGTCCACACCTGGCCCCACTACAGCCCGGGTGACCTTTGTGAAGCAAGACTCAGCGGGGGCCTCTCCCACTGAGAACCCACAAGCAACTTCCTGCTGCACACAGAATGGGAGCCAGCCCCTGACAGGCATCAAGACCCTCCCAGATCGGCCCCCAGCCCGCCCTGCCACCATGGCCCACCTCCTCCGCACCCTGTGCCTCTCCATACCCCCAAGCATGCAATTGACCCGTGCACATCTGCACCTGCCATTCCTTTCGGGGTTTCTCCTCCTGACCCCTCAAGCTGCAGGCAACCTCCTTTCGTTCAGCTCTCCACACAGGGAAGCGCCCATCATCCTAGCTCCGCAGCCCCCACCCCAGCCAGTCACTTGCTATATATTACCCTGTTTTATATTTTCTTTTTTTTTTTTTTTTTTCTTTTTTTGAGACAGGGTCTCACTCTGTCACCCACGCTGGAGTGCAGTGGTGCAATCATAGCTGACTGCAGCCTCAACCTCCCTGGCTCAAGCGATCCTTGCACTTCAGCCCCTCAAGTAGATGGGACCACAGGTGCATGCCACCATGCCTGGCTAATTTTTGTTTGCTTGTTTTTTGTAGAGCTGGGAGTCTGGCTATGTCGCCCAGGCTGGTCTCAAACTCCTGGCCTTACGTAGTCCTCCTGCCTCCGCTTCCCAAAGAATTACAGGCATGAGCCACTGCACCCAGCAGTCTTACCATTTCCTGTAGCGTTCTCAGTCCCCAGTGCTACCGTATCTGCCTTTTTCCATCATTTTCTTCCACTGGAACGTGAGTTGCTCAGATGCTGGGACGTATCCATGGTGTTCCCCGCCATAACCATTGTAATGCCCCTGCAGGGGAGAACACTGCCTTCCATATAAGTACTCAGTAAATATTTGTTTTCTGATCCAAAAAAATGAAAAAATAAGCCCAGGGTGTGACTCTAATCATGTTGAATAAGGGTTGGCACACATAGCAAATGCGAGTGACGCTGGTCAGTGACCCTCGTCTGGGCCAGATGAGCTCATGTGGCTTGCCCAAGGCAGGGCAGCAGCACATCCTGAGTCCAACGTGCCACCCCCTTCCATGCCAGTGGGTACCCCGGGCAGCAGGAGTCCCTGGCACAGGCCGGGGAGTGGGATGAAATGGAAAACATTCTGTTCTTTGCCTTGCCTTGCCTCTCATCAGCATGTAACGGGTCACCCCTTCCTTG